TATTCATGAATTCCCTGGGAAGCAGACACTGTTTTTCACCTGCATTCTGTAGATCATCTCTCATGTCTCACGAGATTGTATGTCAAAAAGAAATGTTGTGGTTTAATGCCGTATTGTATATTCTGCTTTATAAATGAGAGAGATATCATTATTCAGGTGGAAGTGTGAGTGGGGAGGAATACGTCGTAGAGAAGATATTAGACAAAAGAATTCGTAGAGGTATGTTTGATTTACTTAGCCTTTTCAAAGTTCGTTATTATGTAAATGAGATCTTGTTCAGGGAAAGTAGAATATTACATCCAGTGGAAGGGATATGGTCCGGAAGAAAACACCTGGGAACCGGCAGAACAATGTGTAGGTTGCTACTTCAAATCATTCTTTCCTTACGTAATAGTTTTTTTTATCATTTTCCTACATTGCTTCTGACCATATTGATCGAAGCTATTCTGAGTAAGCTTCTTTGAAGTATGCACCTCCAAACTGTAATTTGAGCGGGGGAGAATATAGGACCGTAGAACGGTCTCAAGCACGACCAGGATTGACAAGAGGAGATTTCCAAGCCAAAGTATCGTTTGTTATTCTATTAAACAGCAAGTGTGCTGTCGAAGGAAATCACGGATCTGCTTTCTAAATGGTTAACGCGGTAAACTTGCAGATGTGGTGTCCAAAGCAGATTACTCCTTCCCTTAGATTAAACCCACGCTATTGCGGTGCGCAGGCTAATGACCTGGGGTTTCGACTAGATGTTTTGTTGACTTCTATTATTCTGCCTCAGCACACGATCCGAAATTCTCCCAAGGTTGGCGAGTTAGTTATGGGCAAAAATTTGGTCCCGCATGAAACTCGAACCTATGCTTGTGCTATCCGAGTACATGTACAACGTGGGTCCGGTTAGCAAAATATCCCTAAACTTGCGAGACTTTCGAACTGCGTAAGGCGGCGGAATAACAGCACTCAATTAAACAACAACTCAAAAGAAGTTATTACGGTTTAATGGCACGTTCACGATAAAAAAGGGTTTCTAAGAATTCCCCATAGCACGAATTCGGCACAATTCTGGCTCAGTGTAGTTATCTGTGCGCAGTGAAATCAAATACCCCTTCCATGCATCTTTGCAGCCACATTCTTGTGCAACCACTTCAAAATAAACTAAGGTTCTGATTATTGCCTACAGCTATGTTTTTGATTTTGGATTCGTGTCTTGCTGATAGGGGCAGGTACAAGTTGAACATTATCCTCCATTGAGTAATTTGGGTCATCCAATCATTTTATCTCCCTAAATATGCCGTTTTTCACATTCTCTTCGTTACCTTTGCACTACTCTGGATTGCTAGTGTCATTAATCGTTGAGAACCGGATACTCTAAGATGGCGTAAACTGTACGTTTAACGGTTTATTGCTTATATTGGCTGACCGACACACCATGTCGTATGTGTACTGATAAACTGTGGCATGAAAGCCATCAAGGGGGGCAAGCGGGGCTTCGGTAATTTGAGGGAAAAGAGCACGGTGTCCGGATACCACTATTGCGAGTTCGAGTGTCGTCCGAGACCGCCAACCTTGCGATGATCTTATGTTGCTTCGCAAGCGATTTTGAGGTGTAACTCCCAACCAGACAATGTGTCGTGTAATGAGCAAACCCATTGAAAACCCGGAACTTTTAAAATCATGCTGAAAAATTTGCTGTATCGCTTTCACGTAATTATTCGTAAAAATGCGAGGGGGAGATGCGTTCAAGGACCCTACTATTTGACTCCAGCCCTGCTAAACTGCCGCACTAATCACCTGGCCACCTTTTTTTCCACTCTTTTCTTGCCACTTTGAGGTTAAAGGGAACTGTTTCAACAATTCGCAGGACGGATACAAATTTCCAGAAACGTATGCAATGTGAGTCTCATCGCAAATGATCACATTGGTTCGAAATCCTTTCTCGTTCTCCCAATCACTAGCTCTAGAAACGACTTGTTGCTCTTCTTTTGAAACGACTTGTTGCTTCTCTTTTATAGTTCTCATCAAGAGGGCAAACATAGAAGTGAAAAGTTTGCATTTCGGAACGCTTTATACGTCCACCACTAGTATTAGTAGTAGAGCTTGCCTTTGCTCGCTCTCGGTTCGCGTACACCCTCGCCAAAGTATCCAAGATAAACTTTGAATTTTCTCGAACTACCGCCTGTCCAAAATGCTGCCGGGGAACCAAGCAGGAAATCATGTCTCTTTTTACATATCTCTCAATGTTTGCAAAGAAATCTGCTCAGAGCACGGATCAATTACCATAACTTAATCTATTTTCCTTAAAAGGCAAAAGTTTTGCACCCAAAAATAATTTGCTGACGTTTTTACCCTGTGGCTCAATGCTTTGGGTTGATCTGTGGACTTTAAAAAGTTCTGGAAGAAAGAATGTACCCATGGAAAACTCGTGGGACTAGACAGTTCGAACGAACGTCTTGCATGGTTACAAGCTTGATTATGTAATCGAATAAGTGGTTCATTTTCTGAGAGCGCTCAAGTTTGTTTTTAGGACTGCCCCAGTCTAATAAAAGAGTTCGAAAGAAAGCATAAGAAGGCCCCCAAGAATTCCTCGCAGAATAGTCGTAAGCGAAGAAGGTTGGTTGTACTCTCTTCACGCTAAGTCCAGCTTTCAGTTTTCTCTATAATTCTATCTGCGAGTGTTTGAAAAACTGATTCGATTTTCATTGATCAGCGCTTTCGATATGAATGCCTTTCTCTACACAGGTCCCATTCAGCTACTACATTTTCTGTTGTGAAACTCACTCTACAAACCACAAATATACTCTATTGGCAATGCTAGGGCGAATGAAATTTCGACGTTCTGTTTGATATAATTTCACACTGTGAAGGTCCTTAATCCAATCCAAAATCGTCATTTTTTCTGAGCTAGGCTGTTACTCGTGTTCCTGTATCAGGTTTTGGTTTAGTGTAGTGTAGTTCTCTCGCATTCCGGACATAAGCCAAACGCATTTGCGTATTTTTTTATGTGTGCTCTTCCTATCCAGACAAGGTGTGTGGAAGAGCTTCGTGGATGATAAATAAGTGGTCATTCTTGTGCACCCAAGTTGATTTTAAGTCAATTTACAGTTTTTTGCGCTTTCCCAACAATCTCTCAATCTAACCGTGGAAACGGTTCCTTGCCTACTCTCATAAATGTCAGATCTTCGAAGAGGTGCTCTGTGTAAGGTGAAGATCGAGATCGAATGATGAGCATAGAAATTTCTGATGACATGGCCCACCTCTGCGCCATATGTGTGACAATTCCCCTGGGCTGAGAATTCGATTCTCGAGCGGGAGCAGTTGGACTATTTCTCGCCATCCACTGCAGTTTGGCGTCCTATCTGAACCCTATTGCATCCGTAGGTCTTCCTCAGCAGTTTCTGTCAGACTTCAACGACCGACCGACCGACTGCGGCGGTGCTGGCGACGTGTTGACACGCAGTACAACAATGAATACCACGCGCCTTAACGAGTGACACGGCCTTCAACGCAATCTGAACAGCGTTGTTAACTTGGCCAGCGCCGCCGCAATCGGTCGGTTGATCGTTGAACTCTGAAAGCAGCCTGTGCTCGCTTTTGGTACGTAGCAGTCTACAGTTGAACCGTGGACGGTGCATTGGTGCGTCCAGAACAAGCGAAAAATAAATGATCACATCGGTGCGCTTATTTATGGGCAGCTTCAACTCTGAGCTTCGTCGCTCTAGGAAAGGCGGGATTGCGGACTCTTTGTGGGTTTTTACAGGACGCCCAAATTCAGAAACTTCTAATGTAGTAGGATTTCATACAACTCACTGCACATGCTATTAGCTAGATGTAGATTTTTGTATCATGCATGGTTATTGCATGGAAATCCCAATATCGTTCAGATCGCCGAGACACATTCGAGTCTTCTGCAATAAGTGGCAGCGAGAGCCGGAAGGGTATTATGACTTTCCTTGTGATTGTGATTCCTACGTATCCGTACAGAAGGTTATTAAACGGTCCAGACAAGAAGATTCATCAAAGGCAAACCAGGAAGGGGTAGAAATGCCAGTGTTTCCAAATAAAGAACTATTTAAATGGCCCGTTTGCTAGTCGATCGTGATGCTGGGTGACCCACCAAAAAGGCGACAAAGATGCAGGACTAACAAGGTTTCCGATGGAGCGGGTTGTTGAACAGAAGCTTTATTGTCATTCCTATCGTATGCAGGAACGCCGCTTCATTTGCGATCTCAACGAACGGTGTACCAAAAACGCAGAAAGTTGTTAACTCACTTAGATGGAGACCCTTCATCGTTTTCTCTGGATGAAAATTTTTACGGAAAACCATTCGTCAACAAATGAAACAATCAGTTCTGCCTATAAACGCCAAAGGTGCAACCTTTCACAAGAAAAGTAGAAGCAGCAAGATGATTTTTCTTGAGAAAGTCACTGACAAGGGTGAGATGCTCGTGGTTTCTCCTGAAAACTGGCAAAAAGCTGTACTCGAAAGGCATACTGATGGACGTAATGAAGCACTGATTCGACGGCGCTTCCTGAAATAACTCGTTGTACTTCCAACAGGACGATACTCCAGCCCCCAAAGCCAAGCTCGTCCCGGTGTGGTGCCGACATTAACTGCCCGGCTTCATTGCTCAAGAGGAATGTCATTTCTGCTTTCCAGGTCTTAACTCACTTGATTCATGTGCAGTTCCAGTCTGGAGTTCTAGAAGGCAGAACTCAACGGTTGGGAAGAAATGGAGGAGGTTAGCTGCATGCGACATGAAAGAATTTCGAGACAACTGTGGGCCCTTTAACCGCGCTCATAGGGGATATTTTTAAATGCAATTGTAGCATTTTGTGTTCCATGTTAGCAAACATGCTCTTAGGTTCCATTCACTGTTGAGAATCTTTATATAAATTGCCATGAATGGGCTCCTATGGCTTTTGGGACACCATGTATGAGTATCGCTTTCGTTCCCTTTCATTCCATTATGTGCTGATGGAATGCTTCCCAGAGGCTGTAGCTGAATGATTGTGACCTGGTGTAATTAATGACTAAAAAGGCATAAGTTTCGAAAGCAAGTAGATGTTATCAAGTCAATGACCTCGAGAGTCCCAGTTTATAAGTAATAGTGCTGTTTAGCCGCCTCAATGAGGAAAGTGACGATGCAGCATCAATACAGGATGTATGTTTTTTTTTTGAACGATGTCTTTGAAAATGCTCTCCACACTTTCTTTTTTATAGAGTGTCGAAAAAGACATTTTTGATGATGAAACAGCTGAAGACGCACCTAAACTTCCTCCCAACCCAGTGAAGAATTCGAAAGGTTTGCGTAGTTTCACAATTCATCCCTAAATGCATCTCACTCCGATGTTTAGAGGACGATTCGAAATACGGAGTATGTCAAGGACGTAAGGTATCGCAGATACTAGGCCTGAATACCAAAGGTTCCGAGCTGCAAATGCTGGTTCTTTACTCTGATTACAAGAAAAATCGCGAGAAATGTGCCGAGCTTGTTCCGTCTCGTATTTTACGACATTATGCTCCTCAGGTTGGCTTGCTTTCCCACACTTATTGTTTGTTGTATATTTCTTAGCGTGAGATTTTACGCGTTCTGATCTCTCTTTATTCGGTCAATCTGAAAACTTTGTATTTGTGATGAACTTGAGAGAACTCAGAGATATACTATCCTTCGGACGCTTTTCCAATATACTTATTCGCATTTTGTAGAGATAAAGCCAATTCAAACGTTAGCTGATTTTTTCGAAAAGGGGTTGGATCGGGAATTTACTCCCTGGACCATAAGGTGGCGCCGTCTCTCTTAGCACCTTCCCTTTTTCGCCTTTCTTCAAAAATTTATAGTTTCTGGCCGTAACTGTTGCAAGATTCCATGAGATATTCGCTAAAATTTGCAAACAGGTGCAGAGCCTTTTTTTCTTGTTCTAAAGTAGGTACTTCTCCCTGAATCAAAAACTTCTGGCCAGTGAATTAGATCAGGGAAACCAAATCATTATTTCAGCAAAAGTTCTCAAAAGCAGGCAAATTCTCCACATATTTCGGCGCTCTCCATAAGCCTGTAATTATACTAAAAGATAAAGATAAAATAAATTACGTAACATCCTCCACATTCTGCAGTTAATTTCATCTTGGCAGCCCATTTGCTCAAAGTTGATGAGTAATTTCACTTTTTAGTAGGGTTTTTTTTTNTTTTTTTTTGTTCTTCTTTCATGGTCATCTTTCCAGATATCTTTCAAACTCTTTGTATAGAGACTCGACGAAGTTTAAGTTGAGGGCTGGGTGGGCCACCCAATTGACGGCCCGCCTTTCTGTTGAAGGGCACTATTTATAGCCGACGATTGCCCAGAGTACGAACCGTTCGAATGCTCATCGACGCTGCCCATCGCATATTCCGTGTCCTTCTTAAGGTCCTTTTTGATGCGTCGTATATGTGACGGGTGGTTGGACACTCACCGGGCCCTGCTTTTCCGAAGTGATGAATTCACGGCGCAGCAGCTAGCACCGCACAGGCGACACCATATGCGTCGGTTCCACTGTTTTCTGTCAAAATAGTGACGATATAGCAAAGTTTTCTCATATAGAAGTGGGGCCGTATGCAATGCATAACGCCCAGGTTGGGAAGGGGAGAATCACCCTAAGGAAACGACTGCGAGGGGCGTGAATGTTCAAAATGGAGTAAGGGAGGCTCACCACTTTTTTAGAATAACTCTGCCTTAAAAACCATGTGTAATACTTTTACATAGAAGGGCCACTTCTCACCTGAGTGCGAAACTCGATGCCTATTGTGCTGTTCAAATCAGCTGTTGAGGATGTATGACAGATGCAACGAAGGGTTGTGTAAGTGCAGGATCCTCAAGGTATGAGATTCGAAAGGATTGTTTCGCAGAAGTGTGAAGGTTGGAAGGTGGAGAGACTGGTATGTGCGATTAAGTGCCCCTTATGAGTTGGAGCTGTTACAAAACTGGTTACCACTCTTCATGAGACTGTATCTAACTTAAGCGTCGAGAATTCGTGTAGAAATTGTGGAAAAGTCCAAACCTTCTGCCAACTAAAATTTGATGTTTTTTTTTTAACAACCATTAGCCACAATATAAACTAATTACGTGATAGCCGATGAAAGCTACCACAACTTTTCAACGAAAACTGTGGGAACTTAGCCTAAGTAGGCTATATTGCAGGTTCGCAATTTTCGCTGACGCTTTTACCCATTACATGTAGTCTTGACTGTTTTTTCTTCGGTCCGATTATTAGGGCAAAAATACTCATGCAGGAACACTTCAGCGGCTGGGACCTAGGCCTGTTTAAGCAATCAAACTTTAGAATAGCCCCATCACTACTGTTGTCAAACGATGGCAAAATTGCCGGCCATCAAGTATAGTAGTGTCGCTATGTAATAATTTGTGGCAGCGTTATAATATCCATAACACTTCCACAAATTGACATGAAAAGATAATGAGATTCATCAAAATCATTAATTTGGAATTGGATTTCTAAGCCACCTGAACCACTTTCTCTTGTTAGTAGCCTTTGTATTTCAGTTTTCAACCATTACTTGTTTGCAATATTGACAACAGTTTAGAAGCAACAATTTTTCAGATGGTTATCGATTACTACGAGTCATTGGTCTCTTCGAAATGAATGGTCTCTTGTATATCACACTATCAATGTTTATTCTGTACATCGATGTTATAAAATGTGAGCGCTGTAGTTGCAAAAAAGGCAAGACAATGAGATCAGCAGTTATGTAAAGCAAGTATCATCAAATTCACAACCTAATGCCAGTGCATGCAAATAATTACAAGTATTTCAATACATTGAAGAAGCTGTACTTAATTAGAATCATAAAGCGACCAGTGTTAGTGAATGTAATGTGTCAGAAAGGTTATGAGCACGAATGCCTAAAACGCCTCAATGTTTGCGTATAAGCCATATCCAGCTGGTCTCCCGAACCGAGCTCTTCGATTTGAGACCTTAAGGCTCTTTTTTTATTTTCATGATACACGTCTTCCTGGACATCGGTTTCTGTCCAAGCCTTAATCTGCAAAATACTAATGTCAAAAAGAAAACCGTTTTAAAAGTCTTAATGAAAGATCTACCGTTGTCTGCATAGAATCCACAGGGCCCTCATCCCCTTTGAAAGACGAAATGATTTCGCCTACTTTATGCACGAAGTGTTCTATGAGCTTCTAAAAGGATAATAATCATGAAAAGTTGCTTGAATTGGAGAAACCAGAATGAGCGGAACTAACTTTTCGTTCGTAACTTCTACGCCTCAGCCGCTCCACGAATTCTTCCCTTTCCCAAAAACTTTCGCAAACGATCTGTATCGTTTTCTGATTGTACCTTTCGGTTCTCGTAAGCTTTTCACACCGTCTTTCTAGATCCAGCACTAAAGGGGAAAGTACAAAATGACTTAACTACATCTTATTCAAGAAGGGGCATTTGCCTCCTACCTTTCTGTTCTAGATGTGTTACTTGGCCTTTCAAGTGTTGAATAGCGATCGAAAACATATCATTCTCGTCCTTTAGGGAGATCATCTCACGCTTCTCTCTGAATGAATGTTGCTTTGGTGGAATAGGACCGGCTAATTTTGTACCAACTTTTCTAAATCGGCACGAGCATCTTGCAGTTCTTTTTCGAGCTCATCGATTGCGTCATTAGCTTTTCTGATCTCTTCTTGTGAATCCTGAACGATTTACGGGTGTGTCCATGAACGTTGAAGTTTAGCATCTAATTTTGAATTGCTCAAATGACTAACCTGTTCTAATTTTTGGAACTCAACCATAAGGTGTTCGGCGTTGTCTCTTTCACAAGATACGGCTTCTAGTTCTTCAGTCTGTTTCCTCAGTTTAATTCTGTACTGATCAATCTGCATCTTCGCCGCGCTCAAGTCGGACCTATGACCATTGGGTGAGGTAGTGATTCAGTGAAAAGGAAACTAACATGATTTTCATCCTCTCTTTCTGAACACATGTAAGCTGATCAGCCTGACGTCGGAAGCGATCTAATTGCAGCTGTAAATTTTCACGTTCTATACTCCATTTCAGCCTCTCTGAACTGAAATACCGGCGAGAAATTTTTTTTTCGATCGAGCAATGAAAACACAATAGCGACCAGCCTCAACTTCTTCTCTAGAACTTCTCTATCATCATGAATTACCCTCAGTTCTTGCGTGGCGTGTTCTATGGCATCGGTGAAATACTTGTGACATTCCTCCAAAAAATGCATCACCTATAGCAATTTAGGAAATGTTGAAGATGCTGCGGGAGTGTAAACCATAAGCTAGGAAACCTTCCTCGAAACTCACCGCTGCATCAATAACGGATGTTTCTTGCTCATGTTTCACACGAACAAGAAGTCGTTGCAGCTCAGTCTGCACGAGCGATGAGGATGAACAAGGGGCACACTGAACTTCACATTATGACTCAAGTGGTCAATTCTAACTCTGGAGTAACGGAGATTTACATTTCGGCAATTTTCGACAGATGTAATCAAGCGGCTCAGTGGAAGAGCATCTTCATCTTCCTCAGAAAGATCGATGGATGTCTGCGTTTCTACGTAGCGTTTCTCCGGAGACAGGTGCGGATTACCTTAACATGCTAAAGTCTGGTACAGTAACATGGCGGTGCAAACCAAGTTAATAATAACACCAACAACTAACACTGTTGAACATTCCTGCAATCTTTTGGTGATGCTAATGACGCACCGACAAAGGTTTCGCGCATCTCTTTGATAGCATCAGCGATAGATGCCGATTCCTAGAACAATAATGAGCCCATTAAAACGACGTTCGAAAATTCTTTCAGGATGACTCACGGAAGCAGCCTTTTCTGCAAGCTCTCGAACTGCCGGTAATATGCAATCGTAGAGCGCGCGAGGAGTTTTCTCAACTTTTCCTACGTCTATCCCTTTGACACAACAGCTTCCATCGATTGAAACACATTGACCGGAAATACGTGATTATCATGAGAAATGCTTTAAGGTGACAGGAAACACCTCATATAAGATAGAATTCACTTGACCAATGATTTCACCTGGATAAGACTCCAACTGTGCTAAACGAGATGAAAGCGCCTCAATTTGTCCGCGTTTTTCCTCTATCATATCGCAATACTGCTGCTCCGCTAATTGCTAAAATTTATGCTACATTACTATTACAATGAAAGCTGACAGTTTGAAGCAAAAGACGTGACCGTTGTAAATTTGTCTATGATAAATTTATTTTCTGTCCTGAAATAACCAGATCAATTACTAATGCAATGCATAATGATTTGGAAAAAAATCAAATCTAACAACCAACCTGGAAAATGTGGAACTCCTCACGCACTCGATCACATTCTTCATTAATTTTACCCAGACGATGTCCCAGATCTGCTATTTCTGCACATTTTTCTTCCTTAACTTTCGGATCTCTTTCGAAGCCCGATGAAGCACTAGTACTCATTTTAATGATAGCGCACCAAATCATCTCTCAACTTCGATTCTACGGTTCGTAATCTTGCCACTGTTTCATCGCGGCACTTCAATTCATAACGAAGAGACTCCACTTCCGCAATTCGTTCGGAATTGGCAACCTAGAACCATTAAATCCATCTCACAAAGGCTACCTCAATCACCAAGGGCAGATAACGGCTAAGAAATCAATTTTGACCTCTCTCTCCTTCAGTTCATTTTTCTCAGCAATCGCTTGTTTGAGGTGTTCGCGGCATTCCCGGAGGGCCGTAGAAAGCTGTTCCGTCTCTTCTTTGGTACTGCTATGAGAAGCTACCTATGAAATGAACAAAAGAATTGAATCTCAATCACACTGGTCAAGTTGCTCCCTACCTGTCGAAGGAACTCCAGTTCTTGCGATAGCTTTTCGTTACTCGCTACAAGATTGTCCATTTGACTTAAGCGTTCCCGTAACTGCAATAGATGGCTCTTCAGCTTACGCAAATGATGCGCCATCAAACATCATAATTAGCAGGAAGAATAAGACTTTTTGAGTTAAAGTCTGAGTCGGCCTTCAAGAACAGGATTTAGATATTATACATCAAAGTACCTTGATCTCCAACTCGGAAGCATGGCGCGCATTATTCTCAGCTGCTTCACGTGCTTGCTTTTCACTCGCCAGAGAGAAGCGTAATTCCGCCAATTCTGATTTGGAGCGAGATAGGTGCACCTTCAACTCCTCAATCAAAGCGGATGAAAGAACGTTTTCTTCAGTGAGTTTATCAACCATTTCTTGACGTTTCTGCAACACAAATTATGAAATGAGAACGGCGCAAAGCTTCTGTTACTGAAATGCTTACCGCACTTTCCTCTCTTAATCTATTCATCTCACTCATTTTTTCACTCATTGAAGATTTCATTTTGTTATCATTCTCCTGAACAAGGATCATTTAGAATCTATTTTCAATCGCACTTTTACATAATTGGAAACATAATAAAAATAAACAAAAAAGTCTACTTCACCTTAAGTTCCTCTATCTCGCGTTCACAAGATAAAATGCGAAATCTCAGCTCAGACTCTTGCGTTTGAAGTGCTTTCAGATTCTGTTCACTTTTTGCTAGCAACCGCTCAAGTTCCTCATTCTTTAGGCGGAGATCAGCAGAAGAGGCCCTTTCATCACGAAGATTCTTAATTTCATCACACAAACGCTCATACTGAAACAAACGCTCCGTAGAAGTTTGCAAGAATAACGAACATATGCAAATTCAAACAGGTTTTCTTCGTACCTTTCCTTTGAAATCGACAAGTTCTTCAGCTTTAGCTGCAAGTTTTTTCACCGAGTCTTTCTCTTTTCTCTGAAGATCCAGATTTTCACTCTCAAGGAAGCCCACTTTCTGGTTACAGGTATTGAGTTGCTGGAATGGCGAAGAATACAAAATTGAAACTTCAAATAAGTAAAAGAAGAGTGTAGTCTTGTAAATATGAACATCATTCATTGCCATTTTCGACTGTATGAAACTCAAGCGGTAAAATATTTCCAGATAATAGTATACTAGCGTATTTAAAGAATGACTCCTTTATACAACTCACTTCTCGTAACATTACAACTTCGTCCAGAACTGTTTGAAAATTCTCTAGCTTGCATCGCAATTCTTTATTTTCCGCATCAAGGGTGCGATTGCGATCCTCAATTTCCCGCAGTGCCTAAGGATGAGTTCTGTGGATGCATATGAACATTTCGGCAATTCTAAGAAAAAAGAGTCACCTGTTCAACCTTAGTCTCTTCATCATCAAATTGCTGATCGCATTGAGTAGAGACATCCTGAAACACACAGCCTGATTTGATGCAATATTATTGCGTTTATTAAAACTACTAAGAAAAGTTAATTTCTGCAAAGTTAATCGAAAAGTGCTAAATCCTTAATCGAACACGTCTTTATAATTGATCTACTTTCCACATTTGAGTAAAAGAAATAATATTCGAGTCATCGGTCTTCTTCATTTATAGAATATGCAAAAGAAGTAATCCAACACCTGCTTCTCCAACACCATTTCTTCTGATGCTTCGAAGGCCTCTTCCGAATGGTTTTCCGTAGTACTTTTTGATAAATCTGCGATACGTGCTTCGAGCTGTTCGATTTTTGCACATTTCACCTAAGCAAAAAATGAAACTCATAGGCATTTTTTCAAATACTTTTTTAACATTCTACCGGTGGAGATGCTAGAACCAGAACAATGTTACCTTTAACTCATTTTGTAAGGTTTCAACCAACGCATTGCAATCTTCGACCTAAAATAAATCCCATAAAGAGGTTTCCGAAAAATGTAACATTCATGCACTGCAATGAAACTGGTAAACACCAATGTCCCTAAATTCCTAAAACCTACCTGTTTTTCCAACTTCGACTTTTCCGCATTCCAAAGTTGACTCTGATTGAGAACTTTTTCATTCTCCCTTGTTAACTTGCAATTTTTCTTAGTAGTTTGAATCAGTTGTTTTACACTTGCAACTGCAAATATGAAATAATAACAACTTGCAGTTCTTCCTTGTTACCACTTTATCTTTCCTCAAGTCGTGTATTACAAAGCGAAACGATTGCTTAAGTCAATGAAATTTCTGACTCATTACCGTTTCGCTTTTGGAAAAAGACAAAGAAACCATACAAAGATTACAATTCACACAAGTATCTGTATCTCACTTGATTTAATTAGTCGAGTCAATGCAAATGCATACCTAAAGCTTCTTTCTCTTCGCCATCTAGTGCATCCTTTTCGGAATTTCTGAAAAGGGAATGTAAATTAACAGAGTGTAATCAGAAAGTAATTAGTAATGACTACTTTCGAAATGTTCCATCATGAACAGAAAGCCTAGAGACGTAAGAAGTGAGGTTGATATGGCGAGATTTCACAAAAACCATATCCTTCGTTGGGGTAATATCAATTTTGACGAGAGAGGTATCGCCCATGTGACGCCCATACTGAAGCGTTCCCATCTATAGAGGCGGCTGGTTGGTTCTAGACTCTACAGGAGTATGAAAGGATAAATTATAAATCGCCCGGCCCAGAAAATACTATAAAAGTAGATTCCAATTCAAACACCGTCACCCTAAAAATGGAAGTAGAAGGCTCAGGCAAAATCCGAAAAGGGATTGTTTATAACCGGGAGTGTAACCTTTATTTAAAGATCAGCCTCTAGCCTTATGCTCCGATCCATAGACGAGAAAAAGAAAACTCATTTAGTCACCTACTTTTTGTATAAGCAAGAATCGGGTTAACACCTGAGGAGAAGAGAGGAGAATCGTTTGGATACGTTATTACTTAACCTAAATTGTCTACGTCTTTATTACAGCTTTCCCGTTTCCCCGATTAAATTACAGTAGATGGATAGATAAATGTTGCTGAAATACAAGACCAATGTAGGTATAGAATCGTAGCAATGCTTGCGATTCAAAAGTCGTGGATCCAGGCTAAATCTTCAAATAATGAACTGATGGGCTCAATCAGTAAGACAAGGGGACTTCAGGAAAGGAGATAATCTCCATGAAAACCTCTAAAACAATGAGCCTCATACTTCTGGTTAATATTGAAGGCTAGTTGACCGTCTGGGAGGGACCTTTCGACAATCCATCCCAAAAACCTTTACTAGCTCATTCACACAACGAGGAGAAGAAAAAAGGAGAGGTAGTGCCCAAATTCAATAGAAGTTCATTGTATCGAAGTTAAAGCTCATCGAGCTAGCCTTGTCGCCACATCACTATTGAAGCGTTTAACCCTTACGGTCAAAGAAAACGTTCATTCGTCTAAATGTTGCCGATCAAGCCGACCATTTAAAATTTTCAAGGATGATTGAATGCTACTGGACTTGTTAGGAAGAAGTAGAGTATCAAGTGGAGTTCAAGTGTCAAGGAGTTGATCAAGTATGCTTCCACAAAAAATCTCTAGTGAATTCAGTGCACTGGTGTCTCACAAAAATGCCTCTACCGTGAGCACTGCTCTTCTCTGAAATCAAAAAAAAAAAAACTTACTCAAAAAAGGTATGCACTGAAGAATGCTTGTTTTGCACAATTGGAGTTGAGGTTAGCGGCGAGAAGAATGAGCCTATGGGGCTTTCACTACCATCGTCCTAAACGTGTACCTGTTATCATACAAAAGCACTGCCAAATAGTAGAAGTCGAAGTGGATACTCTCAATAAGCACCCAAAAAGACACTAGAGGATCAGAATTCAGCACAACAAAAATCAGAAAAGCTCTTTACTACCTTCTATGCCTGCTCAATAATGCTATGGGTGCAATTGACTTTCTTCACTAGACAGAGAAATTGAGACAGATAGAGACGAAAACCTCAAATTGCTCATTGCATACCGTAAAACCTTCATCTTCTCGAGGAGTCGGATGACCACTATCAGGATCGGCTTCGCCGAGGCGTCGCATACTGCAGAACTTTACGAATTTTCAGCTTCAAATTTAAGGCTATATCTGTAAACAGATGGGTCACGAAAAGCTAACAAAAAGAAGTTGTTGAGATTCACACAGAAAACACGAGAGTGCTCACCAATACCTTTGGTATTACTGATGAAGCCAATGGTTTATTCTAGGGGAGGAAATCTCGAAAGGGAATGTCTACGGGTACACTGCATTCGTTGTGATGCATTTTTCTCCTTTTGTTTGCAATGCACTGGATTCAAGCTCATTCGAATCGTAAGGTCTGTCAAGAAATGTTGGTGAGCCCGGCATAAGCACAGCACTTGAACACGCCCTACTGCACCCTACTGTTTTACAAGAAACTCTGCAAAAACATCCTTTTGAACTTTTGTACGCAAAACTAAAGAAGCACAAAGAACAGAAACTCAGAACAAGACTTCGCATTTCAACAGTTAACCGGAGCCGATTCTTCCAAGTGTCAAATGCAAATCAACCGTCTAGGATGATCAAAATTCCCCACAGAACTAGAAACTTTGTGTATCCCGGGTCACATCCTACGGCCTGTGTCTATACTAAGCCCTACAGCATTCAACAACGGACGTTCAGTAGAAAAATACTGGGAACGAAAACAAGTTGTGCTCCATCCAAGCGGCAGATGGGCAGGATCGCGTTCACTCATTAGACTCGTTCTGCGACTTGAATTATTTTCGAGCGCGCGCATATTTGAATGCAATCTAGAGCAGCTCTAACTTTGCAGTGGTCTTTCACGCACAGAAACAAAAAAATCAGTTTGGGCACCGGGTATGGGTACATTCACCCAGGCTTGGATGGACACGGCAGACCGCGTGGCGAAATTCATGGTGATTTGACGAGTCTGGCTCCTATCATTGGGGCACAGGTTTCAAGTAGATTGGATACGTACGGCCAGTTGGTGCTACTTATCTACTATCTATCAACCCTACTTCAAATTTGTGTCCCAATGATACTGGCCAGAGTCGTTCAAATCGCTACGGATTTCGCTGTGCAGTCTACCTCGTCCATCCAGAATTTGAATGTTTCGTACCCAACGGACACCAAACTCCTACAGTAATCCCCTCGCTATTTGCCGCGCGCACCCGGAATCGCACGAATCGCCCCACACCCCGCTTCAGCAACACCAACCCCGTGTCTTTGCACAAGGCTCCTTTTCGACGCACGCATATATGACGGGTGAGAATTTGCTTACTAAAATGAGGTTACGTCGTGCCGGATTACTGTTGGAGCCGTGTGCACGTATTGAATTTTCGTTTCCATCTTTCACGTTGCTGGTTCTACTAGTAGCCTAAGCCTTTTACCGAAGAATACCTCTGCTTACCATTATAATAATAGATACGAGTAGCTCTATTCTCCCCCTATACTGCTTCCTCTGCAAACGGATCTGTGGGCCCAGTTAGTGTAAAGTATCCTTCTTACTATAAAGCGCTTCGTCTGTCGTCTGTCGTTCTGTCTGTCTGTCCGTCGTATGTCTGTCACGAAATTCCTTAGCTCCTTTAGATCTGCTTGGAGAGACCGGGTTAAGCGTGGGATGGATGGGCCATGTCCCGAGAAATGTAAAGCACACATCAGTTTGGCGAAGCCCCGTCCACAGTGAGCGTTGCGTGCATCGAAATGAGCTGTACTGAGGACCATGATTTCAAATTCAGTCACAAGACGGCTTCAAAACTGGGGTGTAAAGATGGCTAGAGGTGTGCATTGGTAGGTTAGATCCAAATGGGGAGACCTATCCCCCATGGACGAGGCGTTCTCTGAAAATGCAATACTTTATGAAAACATTTATAACTCGGTTTGGAGAAATCCAACAGAGCAGGAAAAAGTTGATGTAAGGGAAGCATTTTATAGGATGCCTCCAGCACAAATGGGCCCACAATAGGCGGAGTGTGTCTCGAAGCTCACATCGTTCCTTACATTTATATACAAAAATTCATAACTCCGGTTCCCATGGACCTAGAAAGTTCGAAGTTGGAAGGAGTATACAGGGTGACCCACATGTAGTGTGACAGGCAATAAAAATACAACTTATGGGCTTCTGGGCTGGAGGAAGCGGTGATCGCTTGGGCGGAAAGGAACGCGATGAACGTCATCTGAACCTTCCACAGGATTGGACATCAACTCACAGCATAAAGAAGATGCTGCAATGTTGTGGAACCACGCTTCCGGGTTTTTGAGGCGAAGCAGTTTTTACCTTCAAATTCCCCGATCTCAATCCTTTGGATTTTGTTGTATGGTCGATTCTCGAGCAAAAAGCCTGCGCTTTCAAACACAGGTCTTATGAACCTCTGAAAGAAAGTTCTTTTGTAGAAGCGTGGAATGAAAGTGATTGCGCGCATTCTGGAAAACATCCGAATGAGGTTGGATGTTTGCATTAAAGCGAAAGGTGGTCATTCTGCAATCGAGATGTGTTATGTTGTTTACAATTTTGTGATGATTGTGTAGGAGTAATAGTTTTCTATTTGGTTCGATCTGTATAATTTTCATGCTAGTTTTCTGCGTCACACTTCATGTGGGTCACCCTGTAGGCGGCGGGATGAGAACACTTATGGTGGGTGGCAGGACCAAACTCTGCCCACGGGGGGCGGGGTTTGAGCGGAAACTCATAAATCCGGTAAAGGTCTGTGATGAAAATCAGCTCATGTGGCTCCGTCCCTCATGGCTAGAGCCCCTAGCGCACGCGATAGCTTGCAAGGCCGCCTGGCAATATATTAGGCAAGCAATCATTGAGCAAGCCCTCCTCTCAGAATTTACAGCTATCATCGTGAGCGTGAAGCGTCACGACAGGTAGTTTCAAGACGGAGATTGAGTTTTTTATTTTCGGCGAAAATGTTCTGAGGGGCACTCTGCGCTCTTACGTTGATGTTTTTTTTTTTTTGAAATGTAGTCAAAGAAGCGATGAGCATCGGGCGAGTGGGTGTAAACCTCATGCAAAGATACCATTAAATCCAATAGACCCGGGCCGCTCAAAGTTTATAGGACATTCTGGAGTTATTGCTTTGCTGTAGAGCATCTCGAATAAATACCAGTTGGATAGAAGCCCTGCTCAGGTCCTGTGTGTTCAGTAACATGGCTCATTTCCCTCTTATCCCAACTTGACTACCCCTGTACTTATAACAAATGTGAACCTCTAAGGTCCGAATTGACTATTTTCACGCATGCCCCGCCCCCTGTGAGCGGAGTCTAGTTCTCCCAACTATCATCGGTGTCCTACTTGCCGTCTTCACTCCTTCCGAATTTAAGCCTCTAAGGTTCGAGAGACTGGAGTAATGAACTTTCCTTTACTATTTACAAATTATGGATTCCTGCTTAGATATGTATTTTGCGCAAATCCCGCCCCCTGTGGGTGGCGTCCGATCCTGCCACCCACCACATGTGTTCCTATCCTGCCATCTGTACTCCTACTAAATTTGAACGCTCTAGGCCAACAAAAAGAGTACCTATGAATTTCCGGTCGAACACTCACAGGGACACACATACATATACAGACAACCGGCGATATGTGTACAGTAGGATGCTCATAAGGCCTTCTCCAGTATTAAGTCGGAGAATTCGAATGTACTCATTTTTATTTTATTTTTTTCATTTTCTAATTTTTTTAGTTCTGTAAGTCGCATCACTTTCAATTGGGAACACCCATCACCAATTTCATGGCATTCCAACGGGTTTGCATAGCAGTGTGATGTGCTATAAATTTAGAAACCGCAAATAAAATCTATAACATGTGGAAAGCAGATTTTGACCTGTGTAGCCAGCTCTTTACGCCCTGTGCGGCAACTGACACCTGTTCAAATCCGTCTTCTTTGCCGCTCTTGTTTATAATCTCTTACAACTCCCTTTTTATCACTTTTTGTAGGCCTATAATTTACTGAGCTGTCGAGTTTCGCGCTTTCTTTGCCACCTTTCCGCTATTCTACGCCATAACTTCGATTATTCCACTTAAACTAAATACCACAAAATTATCGTGAGCTGTGCCAAGCTAGTGTTGGAATGACGCAGTAAGATGGCTATAGAAACTAAGCACATTTTATATTTCAGCAATTACATAGGCAATCAAAAAGTGAGCGCAATACATAATAGTGAAAGCACTGCTATTGAAATATGTTAACATATTGGCAGTTTGAGGTAGAATATCAGGAAAAAATGAAAAAGATTCTCTGTTTACGGCGTGACTGGTTATAAACCAGAATGAGGTAACACTGCATATCTCGATACAGGTGTAAATCTTGAAAGGAGTAATTGCATACTACTTGCTTCATTAACGCTTTTCAGCGGAACAAAACTGAAGCAGAATAAGGCGTATAATATTTGATGTCACAACTGAACCAGAGGAATAAATAAAACAATGAGTGCTAGACTCCGCCCACAGAATAAAAGAAATCCAACAAACCGCTGCGTAATATATGCACTAGAAACTACTATTAGATCCCCGAGCGCTCAAAACCAGTTCAAACCACAGTGCTTCAGGAAATATGAGCATTATTTTACTTGTATCACAAAAATGCCAGGAACTTCTGCGCTACGCAACCTAGCGAGAGAACAACACACATTTGAAACCTGTACAATGGAATACATAAAGGAAGGCCTGCTGAAAAGAGAAAAGATATCGACAGCCGTACTCATATGTCGTTTAGTGCTGCGTTCGTGTTGTAAACCTCGACGGACGCCAGAAAAGGTTTTTTAGAGTGGTTTCACAAGTGGCTAGCAACAACCGTCCACGAACTGCATTATGAATAATGCTTGTGAATATTCAATCAATACATATATGAAAATGAGGTAGGCATCGCACGCAGTGAAAGGAGCTCTATCATACTTTTTTTCACATTCCGCTTCGCTGACTTTCATAATTTCATTCTCGGAGACTTCAATCTGAAAGTTGACTGGCATGGTCCTACTCCCCTAGATGCT